CGGGCAGCGCCACGCGCGCTGCTGGCGCAGCGGGAGCCGAGTGCCCAGTCTGGAAAAACACCGCGTGTTTCCTGTGGAGGAGTCCAATTAACCAGCATTAATGAGACTAATGAGTCACCGTGGTCCTTGTTCGATGCGTTACAATCACCACAGATCGTCTCATTCTGCAGAGGATTAAACAGCCGCCGAAACTGCTGTGACAGTGCGTTGAAGTGGGAGAGCTCACTAGCTTGAGCTGATAGTGCAGCATCAACTGCTCGCTTTCAATGTGGCTGAACTTGCAAAGCAGGCTGACACAACAGGTCTGAACTCCAGTGTTCACTAGTGTCTGTATGAAGAAAGACTGAGCGAGCGAGGCTTGTGGACCCTGGAGAAGAGAAGGCTCTGACGGACCTTAGGGCAGCTCCCAGTACTTAAAAAAAGGGCGTGTAAGAAAGACGGAGACAAACTTTTTAGCACGACCTGTTCTGATAGGACAAAGGGTAATAGTTTTAAGTAAAGAGAGTAGGTTTAGACTAGATATAAGGAAGAATATTTTTTCCACGAGGGTGGTGAAACACTGGCACAGGTTGCCCAGAGAGGTGGTAAATGCCACATCCCTGGAGACATTCCAGGCCAGGCTGGATGTGTTTCTGAGTAACTTGATATAGTTCAAGATGTCCCTGCTCATTTCAGGGGACTGGACTGGATGGCCTTTTCTCTAATTGGAAGGGACATCTAGTCCCTTCCAACCGAAACTATCAGTGATTCTATGTTAATTCCACTGAGGCTTTATCTAGACACAGAGCTATTTTAGCAGAACCAAAAGCGACTTTTAAATGCACCTTACATAAAGCAATGCTAACTTTCATTTTGGACACTTTATCTCTGTAAACCAGCCCAGGTTTAAATTAATGACACAGGTTGAACCATGTGGGCTATTTTTACACCTAATTAGATGTATCCAAGAGTTTCGCACTGGTTCAAGCATACACCTCATTGGAAATGTCACACAAAGGGAGGAGTGTTGAAAGGCATCCATCCAATTATTGTACTACCAAGGAGGACTTCCCTGCTGTGGGAAGCAGTACACAAACCTAATTTTAAAATGTGGGTGACATCTCTGCTGAGATTATTTTGAAAATCTTGCACAGAACGAACTGATCTGGCCTTTAAAAGTTGAATCAAGTCGCAATAAAACACCTTAGATAGTACTGAATTTTTGATACAGTGCAGAAACATTAGAAAAGCCAGGAAACAATCCATCCATGTAAAACACATACTATACTGACTTAACATGTTGTTATCTTTATCACTCATGCTGAAGACATTTGTTGTCATATATATACACACACACTCTTGGCACTTTCTTCTTTCCTTAAAAAAATCCATCAGGGGCATACATTACATACTTTAATTTCAATTTAATCATACAATCTCATAGTCAAAGTTAAAATTATGTCATAACACCATCTCCCTCATCTTCCTACATGCAAACTACCAGCAGTTAAAATCAGCTTATTGTCTTCCACTCCCCTGCAATTAGTTTGCTGGCAAGTACCACGTATCTTTACCATCACCTCTCTGAAGTGGGAAGACTTAAAAAAACCCCTGTAAAATAGCTTCTAGACAGCTGTGACTATTAAGCCATAGAAAATTAAGTCATAGGAAAGATGTAACACCCTCCCCCACCCCCACAGTGAATTGGCAATAATGTCACTGTCTGTAATATGCTAGTAGGCCTGAACTGGCCAACCATCTACCTGTGCCTTTAACATCCATGTGACAGGAAATCACCCATGACCTGGGACTAAAAAGGAACGTGATGTATAAAGCCAGTATTTCTCCTCCTCTTTTAGCTTTGATGGAACTTGACTCTGCTAGTCAATTGAGAAATATTCTGCTGTAAGAACGCAAATACATGCATTGCATGCGCCAGTTGTGGATAGATTTCTGATCATGCTTACTTTAATCACCTCTCCAAAACACAAGTGCAGAGTGTTTAAGGTGCATTTCATGGAGCAGCAGGAGCACACTTCCTTCTCAGAACTATGGTCATTCAAGACAAAGCCAAAACCTGAAGTCATATGACAAATATGAACAGCTCTCCCAACCCCTGTCCACTTGGATTAAAGCTGTGAGACCAACAATGCTAGTTTGTCCAAGTATCTTTTGGGTACTAGAAGTCTTTCAAACTGTTTCCATAGCATCATAGCAACAGCCTAGCTACCCTTCAAACAGACCTTGATGATTCAGACCTTCACGTTGTTATACTTTACCTTTGCACATTTTTGGGGTTCGGGTTTGTTTTTTTTTCCCCCCTCTGTGTGTGGGGTTTGTTTTGGGTTTTGGTTTTTTTTTCCCCTGAGACTGCTAATGAAAGTGGTTACTTCACTCAGGGTTTCTTAAGGAAGCTTCACTAGAAAGGGAGGCTGAACTAAAATCCTATTCAAATGCCACTAAAATTCTGTACTTTTAAAAGTGAAATTCAGAGCACACAGCATCACGACTAGAATAAAAATCTTCTAAGGAAAAGCTCTAGGTTCTTTTCACCGAGTTTACTTTGTTATCTATCCCTTCGTTCTAAAGAGAAGCAGTAAATCTGAAGAGCATTTGACATTTTATTATAAATGGTCATCAATACAGAGCCAAAGTAATGTTTATAAATATCTACAAAAAGCACAAATTCAGGTTAAAAACCATTTTCTAGCACGAGCAGAGGGCTCATGGCTTTCAGTTTTTACTTTCTATGAGCCTGTTCTTAGGGTAGAAATACTTGTAAAAAGCTTCTTTTTTGAAGTATGCTTTTTTACTGGTTTTATTTTTAACATTCACTATGAAAACAAAACGCTGTTGATTTATCAAAGAAAAAAACCAGAAAGGGTGACACATGACCTTTTTGTCCAGTAAATCTGGGATAATCCTACTGTACTGTGGTTTTAACACTGATTTAACAGAAAAGGAAAACTAGTCCAAGGCATTTCAAAACTCCCGCCTTTCCTACTTTTTCAGCATATTGCCTGTCCATCTCCGAGTCAGCACGAGGACTGAGGAAGTCATCAAGACTTCATTCTGGCGCACACTGGAGAGTTGCTTTCCCCCAGAGTCTAGGTCAAAGCACATTACAGTCTTGCTTCTATTATGACTGTTCAGAGGATTTTGTACCTTGCTAACCCCTCCCCCCCTTTTCCTGTAATTCTAAATCATGCAAACACACTCTCATATGCAGAACAGCCCAGCTGTTGCTCTTCTTCATGATCAAGAAATTAATCCAGGACTGCAAGCAGAGGCTTTAGCAAACCTCTAAGCAAATCACTTTAGGCATGACCATTACAGACAAATGCTGTTGTGCAACATGGTAGATATCTCTTGCCCCACTCAGCAGGTAAGAGGCTATGTTCTTGTTTGGCTTTAAGAGAACAGAACAATGCCTGTTTGATGTGTGTGTGTACATGTATGTATGCTATAGTGGGGGGGTACAGTTGGAGGAAAGGCAATAATGCCCTAGCAGTTGAGTACTCTCAGAATTTTCCTTGTCCATCTGCTATTTATTTTGTGCCATGCTTAACAGAGAAATGGAATTGAAGATGCTATTTTCTGGAGTTTTACCTGCATTTTCAGAGGGAACACCTTCGTAGCAGAGTTATCTGTCACTGCATAAGACTGTGTCCCCAGCTTAACAGATACAGGAGCAGCAGTTTAGCTTCCTGTGATCTTTAAATTTAAGAAGATTAAAAATCCAACCATCTACTAGCACCAAAGTTACCTTTCCCTATATTTTTTGACTTTTTAAAATGTACTTCTGTATTACTGACATGCTGATGTGATTCAAGACTTTGGGGCATTGCTCAGCAACACTTCGGTCAGCCACACAGCTGAATGTAAGCAAAGGGACAGTAAAAAGCAAGAAATAAGAGTCTTCCATTTGCAAAATGCCACTCTTCCCATTAGCAGTGTACTTGACCCTTCAAGCCAGAGAGGTGTCACTGGGTTTATTCAAAGCGTCGTAGATGATTGTATAGAGACTGAACATACGTGAAGACACACATGGGATCTGGCTTGTGACCCATCACCATCATGTCATCCACTTCTATCAGACGATCGCAGTGAGCCATTTTCCTGTGGTAATGATAAAACAGATACAGTAAATCAAGAGTTAAATCTTGAAGCCTGTAACCAATGACAAGATTCATCTGCTGCTCTGATTTGAGCACTGAGGCATTTAAGAAATCCTGAGGTTTATCAGCAACATTTCATTTTACTATGAAATGGTAAAGCTCAGGTTAAAGATTGTTATTTTTGTGACCATGGAATATTCCGGTTCTTTCCCTCTTCCTCTATACTGGAATCTGATCCAAAGCCCTACAGGGTTTGTTTTTTTTCCCCCCACTGCCTGCCATTCACATCCCTGATATCCATAGCATGTAGCCCAATCTCACATTCACCTGCTCAAGCCTCAGTAAGCAGGGTCTTGCAAGTGCAAATCTTGAGTTCTTCTGGTTATTATATATGAAGTTCCAAAAGAATGGGGAAACATGAGAAGAGATGAAATGTGCAATGAAGGCCCATGTGGCTGTGGATTGTTTCCAGTGAATAATCCTGTGCCTGGTAAAACCACCTCTGACTCCAGACTGCAGAGGCTCATGTTCTATGCATTCTCTAGGCAGAGCTTTATCATCTTTTTTGGCATGACACATGTAAGCTAGTGATATAGGATCTATAAGAACGATTAAACTCTTCACTGCTGCACAGCCACATCAGACTTGAACTGGAATCACTTCACAGAGATCTAATGTGATACTCACTCAGCCATGGTGAAGGCCAGCTCAAAGTTCTGCTTGCGGTTAGCTGGGTCCAGCTTATTATAATCAAAAGCCTCAGGAAAGAAAGAATGCACAAGAGCACAAAATGCCATCCCATCATTCCAGCTTGAGGAGAAGTTCTGGAGATCAATGTGCTGTCATGATGAAAAAGTCATGCATGTTAATGTAACATGGGCAAAGAGGGAAGAGCAACTGCTTTTGCTTACTGAAGTTTTCTGTCCTCTCCCATTAACCAAAGCAACAGAGCACAGGCTTCATGTTTTTCTTTCCTTCTTAGTATATCCATTACATTATTTGCATTCTGAGAAAAAACAGCACGCTCAGAAAATGAAAGCCTTTTGCCTGAAACACCCAGATGCAAAGCAGACACACAGCCAAGGTGCCTGATCCAAACCCCAATGAAAATACTGGGAATAATCTCATCAACGTGAGCTCTGGAGCAGGCCCAATGCACCAGCTGAGTATCTCTGAAAACTAAGGACACTGCTTATCCCTGTAAAGCATTTATAATTGAAGAACAGTTCATTTTGTGTTGTGAATAGCACTAGATAAAGATTATGCTTGCTTGCTTTGCTTTCAGTAAGGCCCAATTCAGTGCCTGTTTACACACAGATAGATAGAAATACAGGAAGCATTACACCTATTGCAAAACCTGATTCTTAGAACAAATGCTTATTATTACTTTCCACTGCCACAGTGAAAAGAAACGTATCTGGGCTCCTGTCTCATGCTACTTTGCCATCATATAAAATTCAAGCCCCAGCTTTTCTGGTAAGCAACTGACAGTAATTTTCACTAGTTCTGCTTATGTATACCATAATTTAGAGTTCAGCAATAATAATGCACACTTTACATATTACACACACAAGTAATTTTTTTTCTCATGGAAATTACGTTGGCAATTTCAGTTGAAGGGTAAAATTGCTAAAATCTCAACTGCTGAATTCTTTTAGCTACACTGATGTTACCTCATAGGCCCACTAACACCATGTGATTCAGCCTCTACTACAAATTCACATGTCGATACCAGCAGAGGGTACTTTGGTCTGCTGTGTAGCAGAAGAGCCAGAGACTCCACATACTGGCAAAATGTTATTCAGATCTTGCCACATACAGTGAGAATGCAGAAGCCTGCAACTAAGAAAAAAAATGCAAGTGCATACTGAAGTCTTTATCCAGAAGCAGAAAAATGTAGGCTTTCAGACAAACACTAATGCCTTGCTTTGACAGACATACAGAATCTCACTCATGCAATCACTGTCTGGAAGTGCTGCCCATGCAAACCATGATGTTTGTGTTACCCATACAGAACTTGATGGCCTCGTGTAGGCTAACTCATTGTTTAGCAAGTTTTACATGCACTTTTTGAGTACGCTTTTTTGGCAAACTCTCCTGAAAAAGAAAAAGCTGAAAGTGCCAGTGTGTCTTCACCTTGTATCCTATGGTTTTTGAGCGACACCAGTCTAACAGAATTTGTTTAATGCTGCTAGCGCTGGCAACTGCAAAACTCTGTGACCTCTTCAGCTTAGCTCTGGATTCACCTTTTCCTCTGGAAAATTAACAGAGACCAGATTAAATTGCATTCTAGAAAAACTTAAACCTACTTGTCAGCACCATCTACGCAACCCTGCCCAGGTCAGCCCCTGTCCAGGTGATATTTGAGAAACATGTTGCTGAAACTTCAATTTGTTGGTCCTGCAAGAAAAACTAATTTCCATTTCCCTAAAGCCAGGACTGATTCCAAGCCTCTTCTATTTAAATCATACCCCCAATATGGTACATAAAGAATAGTCCATGGTTTTGGTCCTTAATGAATGGCAACAGAAAATGACTATATTCCTAGTCTCTTATAATAACAGAGAAGGCATCTTTCACAGCACTCTCCTCATGAAAGGCACTTGCTTCTTCAGCTGAAGATCTTCAAAGCCAGAAGAATCCATAGATGTGAATTTCCAGCATTCAGTCTGTGAAGTCAGTAAAGCTACACATGACCCCGTATTGTCCCTTAGCTCAAAATCCTACATTAAGAGAGCCAAGTCCTCCCACCCAGCTGTCCTCTGCTGGTAATTAACAAATTGGTTTCCCACTAGCAAACCCATGTGGGAGACGAGGCTTTGACGTACTTTCCAGCACCGAATTCGGATTTGTCGAAAAGCGCTTTCCTGGCCTGTGTTCCTGTAACCCGCGGGAGCGTCTGAGACCGCACCAGTTCTCGCCTCCTTTCAACTTGGCGCTGTACAGGGGGAGGAGAGGAGTGAGAGCTGGGGTTCACATCACAGTAACTGTCAGTGGCACTGGAGAAACATAACATAGAAAGTATATTGTTAAACAAAACATTTAACAGTGCTAGGAGTCAGCCTACGCTAAACCTCCCAAAAGAGCTGTTTCAAGAGGACCTGAATGAGTCAAAAGCAATTTCAGTAAAAATCAAAGGTACTTTTACAAATAAGACATAGCTGGACAAGTCACAAATGCTGAGAACAATTAAACACCTCTGAGAAAGGGGAAAAAAAAAAAACCAACCAACCCCGAAACCAAAAAGAAAAAGAAAAAAAACCAACCCCACAGTAGCCACAGAGCAGCGCTAACTTCCAACTTTGGGATTCCTGGAGGGTAAATCACCTTTTAAATAGAGAACTTGAAGAGAAATTCAGAAAGTACTTTTCAACTTTTTAGTTAGAATACACAGAATTCTGAGCTTGGGTCAGTGCTGCTTTGCTGACCACATACTGGTAATTTGACCGAGAAATATAGGATTATATTCTGATTTGTGTTTATTTGAGACGTAAACCACTTTAGCAGCAACAGGTCACATTTGGAAGTGTTCCACATGACAGAGATGGGGAAACTGAGGCAAAGAGCAATGAATCAGTGTCACACATTAATTTCTGGTACAGATGGGAGGTCAGATTGGACAGCAAGTTCCCCAGGGTGCTCAGTGTACCATGACTCAAATATGAAAGTGTGGATGTTGGAACTAACTCAAAAGAAATGTAATGACAAATTTGGCACAATTTTCAAGGCAGATGCAAGCCCAATTTAAGAGACTCAAATTAGCTGCCCTCCCATTTTTCATGATGGATATTTCGCATGCTGAGGATGCCTGGATATGCCAGCAGTAATTGTGATACCGTGTAATCCTATACTAAGCAACTGCGACTCGAAGTTAATCAAGAATGCGTAGCAGTCGTCAGCAAGGCATTTATCTACAAACCAAACTCTAGGCTAGCCAAACTAAGGATATTTGATGGTAGTTATACGTTGGTTTCCAAAAATAAGCCCAACGTACAAATTTCAACACAGCTGAGTATTTTAAAAATTATTTTCAAAGGGCCTGACAACTTGCCCCTCCTAACAAAAATCCACTGCTGGCACCAAAAGTTTTACTGACTAACTCTGTAACAGTGCTGAAATCCACAATTAGGGCTGCTTCAAATTACTCTACAAAAGATTTTTATCCCTTCCCATCTCTGATCCATTTAGCCCTCAGGAAAGCTCACAAACTTTAATGGGCTTAAATACAGCATCTGGGACTCACCTGTTCTTTGGTGCACTGGAGTGGCAGCCTGAAGAAGCCTCCCAAAACCAAGGGAACCAAAAGTGCTAAGGCTATCCAATGCTGCAATCATGGGTGAGATGTTGATACATAGCCTACCAGATGTGTCATGCAAAGAAAGCTGTGAGGATCAGCTGAGATATGGCACTAATGCAGGAACCAGAGGCACAAAAGAGCAGTCATGCGAGGGTTTTAGGGGTCCTGAAGCTAGACATATAGGATCTAATATGGGGCACGTTGCTGATTTCACATGACAAGTACAATCAATAGATAACCCGGTGTGTCAGCTATAGGTATGGCTAGAAATGAGGAACTGTTTGACCTGAGACAATTCAGGTTATGATTCAAGCACTGCCATGTTGAACAAAAACTACTATTATACAGTAAATCACTAGGATGGTTTTAGTACAGGTAGTGTGATTATTCCAGTAGTCATTGATAGGTTATTCCCTGAAAGTAGAAATGGTGTTAAGAGGAATATGCCCATTTACATGTTGATGGACACAGTACACACATAGAACGTATTAACTAGGTTAATGTAATGTAATGGGGCAAGTAGGTTAATGTATAATTATACATTCAACGCTTAAGATACAGCATCTGGGACTCACCTGTTCTCCACACCAGCAAAACACCTGTCCCTTGAGACTATACTGACCACAATGGCCTAACAAAAATGAAGTAAAATGCATACCTTTCACCAGTTTTGGTTCCACTACTCGTCCCATAGCTCACAGTTGAGACAGGTTTAGTGACAGAAGTAGTATTCTCTGTATAAAAGCAGGAAAGACAAGATACATTAGGGCATAAACTTGTTTTATCTCCTTTCCTCATACATTTCCAAACCATTTCCTGAGAGACAGCCACACACTCACCACAGTGAACAGCTGCAGGCCTCTCTAACTTCTAGTTTGAACCAATAAACTGGGAAGGGATCTTCCCCAGGGGTTTAATCCCCCTGCAAAATCACTGCACTGCAGCAAGGATGGTATAAACATGCCACAAAGGGCTGTGAGAAGTTGCCTTTGATAAAACTGCACTGGGAAGGTTTGATGATTTCGGACTCTTGTGCAGACCTCAATAAAAGGGTATGCTGCCATGGATGACATTCCAGCAAAAAGGAAGAAATTGTGCTACAGCTCATCTTGCAATAGTCATTCTGGTAGACATAAGTAGTCCTAGGAAGTCTGCCATGACTGAGAGCATAATTTAAGTTACCTAATTTTCACCAGGAAATGTTTTCGTTTTTAAAGTCGAACAGACTGCAAGGGTTGCAAAGATGGCTTCAGATCACCAGAACCTCCAGAGGATCTACTTTTTGTGCTTTGCGTCTTAGAAGCCAGCTCTGGACACCAGCTATGCTCTGTAAATGCAGAGCAACAGTGACTTGCCCATTTTTAACACACTAAAGCCAAAACTTGTTGCATAAGCCAGCAACTCATTCACTGAAGGCTCCTTCTATACATGAAGAAAGACTGCATCTTAGAAGCAATCCAACCAGTAAGACTCTCTGAAAACGCAAACTCTCCCCACTGCTTACAAAAGGAATCCAGATCAACTAAATTTCTCATGTAAAATGCCCTAGTAAATGCCAACATACAAATGTGACAAATTTGAGACCACAAATAATTGCCAGAAATTTATGCAAATCTTAGAGGTGATCCCTATTCTAGCTGAGCTACATCTTCACTAAACTGATGTTGAGACCACTGTGAAATGCCAGTACATGGTGTAGACAGTAAAAGCTTGGTGACATCAATCCAAAATACTTTTGGATAGAGCTCAAGTCATCTATTTCAACTGAAATCGAAAATCCTTAAGGCATTTTGTCCTTTGGCACATTCATATATGAAGAAGACTACTTATTGCTATTCTGCCCAAAGGAATTTGCTTCACCATCCATAGGGTGGGCTCACCACTTTCCAACTGCCATTACCTTGATTTCAGGCACAGTTTTCACTTGGTCAGCTGAAATCTTCACTGCTCAGATGTCTGTTCTGCCACAGTTTCCTGGCACCTGTTGTTTCCACTGCAGAGATTACCTAACAGTAAACATGCACACTTCTGTGCAAATAAGGATAAATAGCCCTTGCTTTGAACGGATTGAGAATCTGATACAGTGGAACAACCTTCCATGATACCTGGGAAACTGAATCTGCATGCAGTCTTGTTAGCATTTTTAATATTACCATATACCTATTAATCAGAACTATATGCTCAGATCAGAATCCCCCAGACACGGAACATGAAAACCCCCTCAATTTGTGTTGCATAAGGACATGCTGATAAGAACACTCACCTCCAGCAGCAGATGAACCCACTGTTGTCACCGTACTTGAATTCCAGGCCTTCACTGAAACAGCAGAAAAAAGACGAAGAGAGGCTTTGCTACACTCTCAGGTTTAATAAAATACAAGTTAAAAGAATCATCTGCAAATAATCCCTCTCTCTTGCTGTCAATTCAATCTGGTGTCTCTGTAATTTCTGACCAACACATATAGTCCAATCTTCAAGTGTCACCATCACTAAATGTACATGAAATACAACTCGGAGATGAATGACTTCAATATGAATGAGCTTAATTTAAAACACAACAAAAACAACTAAATTAAGATATAAGTAAGATTCTGAAATCACTTTGACTTCTGTGTATGTGTCAGTCTGCTGCTGGTCATTCCTCCCTCCAAATGTTGAGCCCATTAGCCAAATACCTGCCTAACTTCTCAGGGGGCCTCAGGTCTCAAAGCACTAAAAATTCTTGTGAATTTCATTAAAATAGCATTGAAGAGATACTTATTCAGTAACTGAGCTAGAAGATAGCCTGTGCTATGAACTCAACTATATCAGGCAGCAAAAATTTTCAGCATATATGACATTACAGCCTAAAGCTGAATCTAGGACCCACAATTTTCTAAGTCAGGGTGCCACACCATGGGATATGTAGCACAGAAGTGAGTTTCATAACTACCACTAGGTCACAGGACAAGTCCCATAGCACCAGTTGCTTCAAGTAAAGAAATGGGTCACAGCTTCATCACACAAATTATTGTCTCTCTTACCTGACTGGTTGGACGTTTTCACTGCCATCACATTTTTGCTCTTGCTCTGTCCCAGCAGGCCAGCAGATGCATTAGTTGTTCCTGTTGAACAAATGGTCTCTCCTGAAAACTTCTCTGGTATCCTGGTTACTGCAGTAACGGGAAGATGGGGCATCTGTAAGGTGACTGCAGGGGCATGGGCTTCAGGGGACGTCTCTGACGTGTGAAAACCGGTCAGTTCACGGGAGACTTTTGCCTGGCCTACTGAGTAAGAAGAAAAGGAGAGAGGAAGTAAATTTATTTGCAGATTTGTAACAAAGTTAAAGAAACAATTTGCATGCAACAACTTTATTTTACAAGTTATTGTAATTATTGCATTTATTTCTCCCTCTGGGACATTAATACCATTTACAGCATGCTGTAGAAACAACCCTAGTGTAAGTGATCCTTCCAGCAATCATACCTGTCCTACATGAATCTCAACTTCTCCAGATCATTAATCCACTAGCAGCTGCATTTGCTAAACTCCTCCTCTTCTTCTGTGCAACTCCCACCCCCAATCTCCTGCTGTGGGTTAAGAGTCATCATTATTGCTCTTTTCATGGTTTTATGAAATGCTGTGTGCCTGTTTTCTCTAAAATAGAGACATCAAGTTCTTCCTCCACTGAAGGATGATGGAAGCAGACACGTAATTTGCAAAATATTTTGGGATGCAGGACTACTAGCACCCAGAACAGCAGGCCTTATAATCACTAATGCCCGAAGATAATGTGACAGTAGTCAACTCTAATTCATGAAACACCATAGAGCATGCTTAACAATAAAGTTTAACTTTTAAACTCCTAATTAGGAAATAAAGTTAAGCTGTATCAGTGCTACAGTACAATACCCATGCTGAAAACATAGCAGATTCTAATGCTTCCAGCATCTGAGAGCTGTTCTATGACTGCCAGGATCAAGTTATTTTACAAGTATTGCTACTTCATTTCATGCCCTGTTCCTACCTGATGAAGACTGATGACCATTTTCAATGATGGAAGAACTAAAAACTCTTCTAAACTCAGATTTGTGGCGGTCATCCAGATCTACACTCTGTCAGAACAGACAAGAGACATGACAGCTAAATTTCAAACAGCAGCAAAAGTTAGAAGAATATCCGGAAACACATGCCAAGAATAGGCCTTCCTTGTTCTAGTGACCACAATACAAGAAGGGAACTATCTAACCCCAAGACCCAAACCTACAAACTAAGCATTGCCAATGCAGGACTTGTATCGGTTTTCACATGCTTGTCCTCAAAGACCCCATGCACTTAGGAGGAGCCTTCCACTTTTGTTAAAGATATCACAATCCACTGTGAAGGTGATACACAAAAGACTCCGCGTAATAGCAGAGACAATGATTGAGATTGCACAAAACACTTGATGCGCTGCAAGGTTTCTTCGGTTTGTTGCAGAAAAAAGTCCCATTCTGTACTATAAAAGCAATACATAAACTAGATGTGACCCTAGAACTTTACAGCTGCATTATAATCTGCAACTTCTGTAGGGATAGCTTTTCTGGGAGAACCACCATATTTTTCCCATATGATTGCCAATATAATTCCAGAAAAATCAGCCAAGAATTTTTCCTTCCCCATTGGTTTATGTGTGTGTGCATGCAAAAAATCATGAGATTCATCCAGTTTCATGAGAACTAAAGAAAGGAGAAGGTGCTTTACAGACACATGATTACTTCAGGTAAAAAAATGTAGCTTCCCAAAAGCAGCACATACAAGCGGTAGAGTGAAATTCCCCAACAGAAAGCCCATTCAAAAGTCAATTTATTCTAGACATATATCTAACTACCACAATGGCCAAAAGATTTTATGAATAAAGTAAATCTGTAATGTGCTGTTATAAACATAATCCAAAATTCTTATAAACTCAATCCAAACAAGTTTTGTTTTTCAAGACAGACAAAAAGTCTTAAGATAGATTACTGAAAAACATTTTATACTACAGGTAATTATGAAACCAATGGAACATAACAGAAAAGGAAAGAAGCAGGATGTTTACATGCAAGAACTTAATTTGTCTCTGCTTTTCATACACAGGAAATACAGAGCAAAATAGTAGTTTGATTTTACTTATTACATAGTTTCACCACAAATTATTAGAATTATTCATTTATAGGGTGGAAAAATATATCCCATGTAAAAAATGACGCCATCGTGATCAATTCAAGACAAATCAAGAAAAATAAGTTTCATGGACCTTGTCTGCTGTTTACACTAATTCAAAACTAACCAAGGACACACACAAGGCTAACGTAACCTGGTGATTGTTTAAAAGCACTTATTTGCGTTAGATGCTGCAGAGTGCACAGACTGTTAATATCCATTACTTGGGATACTAGAACTTTCATTACCTCAGGTACAAATCCCAGCCAACTCCTGGTAACTGTGGTCTGAGATCTTCCTAAGAATTTGTTTACTAGCAGTAGATTACAGTAAGGCAGCCTAAACACAGTTTTTGTCAGAGTATACAGTTGCGGGCTTAGATTCTGATCCTCCTAGATATTTAAGTGTCAGCCTCCAACTGGTTTCATTAGAACACAGGTGCACATAGCAGGATTTGAGCTACATGCCTACACTACTCAAGTCAAGGAAAATCCTTTTCTTGACTTAAAGGTTGGGCCCTATGCTCCCAGAAACACCTATGTGCTCACTAGATAAAGTGCAGAGGTTGAATGATGAGCCAAGACATTCCTGAGTCTAAACCACTGAAATACATGAGACTGGTGTAAAAAAAAAACACAACAAACCAACAACAAAAAAACACCAAAGAAAAAAAACCCACCATCACCACTCAGATACTCAACACCACAACACCATGGTTTAGCAGAATATGCTGTGGCCATATAAACTACAAATTACAAGCACCTAAGGGAACACTTTCTTCATTACAGAGAATCTGGGTGACCAGCACAGCAACTAAGGCTTGGTCTTTAACCATGTGGGCACAGCCACATCAGAGCCTTACCTACAAAATCATGTTTTCATTGCATGCATTTGGTGTATGTAGCCCTAGCCACATCTCCCATGGTTCTCTGTACTGAAATTCCTTCTCGATCAGCTATGCTAACCTGGGAACTTGTCCAGCCTTCCAGGGAAAATTGCTGGGAGGGCACCGAAGAACTACCAGTACTTAGGTGATCCTCCCTGAACCCACAAAGCAAAGTGAGAAGGTTCCAATTCCAAAAGCTCATTCTGTGCTTTAACGCAGACCAATACCTAAAGCCGAATATTGCCACAACCTTGATGCAGGACTTCTCAGAGCATGAAGTACACGCTACAGTGTGCGCAGAGGCAATGAGGCTGGTGAGATGGTGTGAAGAACCACATCCCTTTGTCCCCTTTTCCCCTGTCGCTCAACTCACTTCCATTCGTTGCAATACAAACAAGTGAGGATGTCTTCATGGAACAAAAAGGAACAGATCTACAAGTTGCGTGTATGCTGCTTACCTTTGTCACACAGGGAGAAAAGGCAGCAGTTGCCACAACTATGTTGAAACAACACATCAAGCAATAGCTTTACCCTTCCACATGCCCAGCTGCAGGAAGCCCTAAGTGCCCATTCTCAAGTCAGTAGGAATGGAAAAGGCTAGAATACAACACAGACTCCCTGCTCATTCCCACCAATTTGAGTGAATTTCATTTCCAAGTTTTTATTTTCCATCCCCAAAGCCTGGAGAGACCACAGACCTGCTTTTCACACTCAGTCTTGAAGACCCCTCAAGACATGGCTTAATCAAGATTACACAAAATAGGCTGTTACCTGTGAAAGCCAAGTCTCTATTATCAGACAGTTTTGTGTGACTGAATCATGACATACTGTCTGGCTGCCACCTCCTGGTGTCAGAGATTGTACAGGAGCTCTCAATTCTTTCCATAGAGCCTGACACACAGAAAAAGCATTACACAAAACATCTTAGCACCAGATGAGTTTCCCACTAACTAGGACTTCCATGTATCAAGTTACAAGGCTCCACTACACTGCAAAGATAGTTTTATCACTGGAAGGAATGTGTTTGTGCTAGTTTAGGTCATGGAGACCATGACAGCTTGCTTGAGGCCTCCTCTCAGGGACCAGCTCCAGCAGTGCAGGACAGTGGTCATGCCACAAAACTGCCTCACTGCAGGATGCTAAGTCAATATGTTAGGGAAACACGTTACTGCATATTCTATGCTAAACTGTTCTCCTTTGTGAGCTTGCCAACTGGCAAATAGCAAGCACTGCTGGCACACAGACCCCCTGAATCAAGTCCAGAAAGATACACAGATGTCCCTGTACATATGTGTATTGATAGCTGAGACTGCCTCAGCTTCTCTTCTTACTTCTAACCACGCTGAGCTGACAGGTCGCTCCCACTCTAACCAAGATCCCAGTGTGACCAAGCAGGAACATCTCCAGGTGGTATCAAGGCCAAGACCATTTCTCAGAGCACCTCCCAAAAGCCCCTTGACCCCGCACTGCAGAAGAGGAGCCCCGTGCCCCTAACACTCCCCCGCGCCAGCGCAAAGCCTGGCAACACCCGCGAGGCATCTGATTATGCAGCGCCTCAGCCTCCGCC